GATAAAAGTAAAATGTGCAGTGATAAAATGTAAAATGTGCAGTGATAAAATTTGCTTTGATAAGTTGTTAATTAACACAAGAGAAATGAGACAATGAGCAGAAAAACTGAACTAATCCGGCGAAATATTTTGAATGAAAATGATTGAATTGAAATTGAAATGATGACAGCCAAATTATCGAACGTCCGCACTAATAACATACTTATGATTCATCAGATGAACAAAGTCTCTCACCAAAGATCTCTTTATAAGTTTGGAAGATGGAGTGAATGATACTTAATAAGATTTTGTAATTACTGTATAATTTTCAGAATTCTATAGAATGTCCCCGCGCATTGCAGGAGATGCCCTTTTATAGTGCCTAGATTACAAAATTGGCTCAGGTTTGTCACGCCTAAGCCCGTAAGCCGCCTTTCATTTGCCAAGACGAAAATATTTTATAGTCGTAACCGGTGCCGTCAAGGCCGCCGAGAGGGGTGCAATTTGCCCTGGCGCCCCAGTTAAAGGAGGGCCCAAATAAAGAATTGCATTGAAATATACATAGATATAACTGTCAACTAGACTTCCAGAATGCAGGATTTGGCCATTTCTGGGATCTCAGGTTTGAAATTTTTTCCGGGGGATGCCCCCGGACCCCCTAATCATAGTGTTAGAACATGGAATCACGAGAGCCCCCAACTCAAAGTTTGTCCTAGGCCCCCAAATTTCCCTGGAGTGAGTGCTGTGCAGTGTATGTTCGCGTTTTGGCATTTTTGAATACGAATTGTAGGCTGCTTTATTGTTACACATATTATTATAAGGGTGTGTTCAGAAATGTCCAGGGCGTGCTAGTGCTCGGCTAAACTTTGCACAAAAATGTGCAGTGATAAAAAATTCTTAAAATTAGGTATGCACAATTCAGTAATAATTCCTACCAATTAGCAAACGGCCAAACAGCGACCATGGGAGGAAGTGGGATGCGATAATTCCCCATTAAAATATACACAGAAAGCCATTTGTCATTTCACAGTTTTTTTAGCCAATATTTGCATCATAGTTAATAGAATAGATGGTTTGGAACTCATTAGAATAACAATACAACTCATTATTTATGCCAGTCAACGTAGTTTGTAAATCTGGTCCTTCACCGTCACGTGTGTATTGTATTTTTGCCCAACTAACCAATAGAAATGTTTTAGGAAAGTTACCTTCCGTGACTCGAACAATAGGTTAAATTGAAAATTGCTATTGGTGGATTTGGTAAGAATACAATACACATGTGACGGTGAATGAACATATTTATGAATATTAGATAATGAGTTATATTGTTATTCTAATGAGTTTCCAAACCATTTATTCTATGGTTGCATGGCATTTATATCTATATGCTTAAGTTAAAACAAAAAGAGTAAAAAGTATATTAAACTTCAGACGAATGCAACTACAGATCGCATTTAATAATCGAGTTTGATTGATACACGTGTGGCAATCAGCGTGTAAAATTACCAAATTAGTGTAAATTAGCCCTAGATATTATAAAAGTGCAAAAGATATATTTCGCGCCAATAGCTGACGTGCATGCTTGCCGTGCATGCTTGCATGCTAGCTGACGTGCATGCTGTATATTAAACCAAAGCTATATATGCTGCAAAATTTAACATATGCAGCTTGAAGAAAAACGTGCATGGCACTGCATAATGCTATTATTCATGCCTCGCAATGTTACATTCATTTTACAATGTTTGGTTTTAGCTAGTTTGACCCTGAATAATAATAATTAGGCTAAAATACTGTTAAACACTTACAGCACTGGTATTAAATTTACGTGCAACAAATGACTAGATAAAGGCATTATATGTGATAGTGCAGCTTAATGTTATTAAAAATATAGCTTATTAATTGAAAGTCAATTAGAAATAACCACCAAACCAGAAGTTCGTTGTTGCATCAGGCGATGACGTACAACGAAAGTTCTTGTTGGTGTCCAAGTAATAACCAAAATTATCTTCACTGCTCACAGCTCCTCCTCCTGGTGTGAACTGACAACCTGTGGATGGGCCGTCAATATGAAGTGCATTTTCTCTGTTGACGTATGCAAACCAACTAGCCGTACACTCGGCACACTGATGACCGCGAACATTAATGTATTTCATTAATTTGCATACATTACTACCTTCGAAGGTCACCACATCGAAATTCTTGAACCTTGCAACTGCATAATCGCGGTAAATATGAACAGGCTTGGCTTGAAAATCACAAGTGACTCGCCAATGAGTGGATTGCTTCTTTAAATCGTTCATTTGTGAAAGTGACATTCTGTAGAGATTCCAGTTCGGGGTTTTCGGGAGTACTGGGGCATTAATTTTGAGTGGACGTTTAGAAAATGCAGGCATGGCTTTATTTTTCAGCGCAAATGACTCGACAAGTGTCCATGCTGACCCTGGCTCGGATTCCATATCGCAGAATACGGTTTGAAATGAGTTGCCTGCTCCGTCGCTTTTGATTTGATAATAACCACTAGTTTGATAGCCTTTCTTAAAATAATCAAGGCAACTTCGTGCTAGGGCATCGCGATGAGACCTGGCCAGTGTTGGATGGGTCTAAAATAAGTGAAATGGCTCAATGTTAGTGTTAAAAGAAAGAATATATGTAAAAAAAAACCACGCCCATGAACAAAATGGACATGACTGCATAGATATCTTATATACACTAGATAGCGCATTTCATTTAGTAAAATTGAAGCCAAGAATATTCCAGCGGTTACCCCCATTTGAATAGATGGCGGCCATGTTGATGTTTCCCACTCGCTAATAAACGCTTAAAAACAACAATAACTTTCATCATTTGAATAGTTTAAAAATGTATTTGGAATAGGTTTAACTTAATGTTTAAGTTCCCTGTTTAAGAAATAGAAAACATACAAATCTTCTCATTTCAGAGTCTGCAATCACGGCTTCAATTTTTGAATTGCAGAATAATTAGATGCACTATCTAGTGTAAATAAGATATCTATGCTTGACTGCCGTTTCAAGTACAATCTCGAATCCCGGGCATAGGGTTGGGCCTAACCTGCGAACGGGCATGCTCTGGGCTTGATATTGTTTCAAGTGTATGTATTGTTTCAAGATAAACATATTAGCTTCGTACACAGAGAAATTAAGAATTAGAGAAATTAAGGCTGTGATCGAATTCAGAATAGCTGTCAGTTTCTTCGTAAGTTTGAATAGCATATAATTCTCTTGCACCATATTGGAAAAATGCATGAACATATGTATATTTTAATAGGTTTGCTATTGTGGAGACATATTTAATTTAACTTAGAGCTTACCTGACAAACAAATATCAAAGCCAGGATCAATACTTGGAACTGATTCATGTTCAATCGGATGATGATGACGAGATTAATCCTGCATAAAAAACATTTGTGTATCAGTCAGTAATGTGTGATGTCTTCTTGCTGCATGCAGTGTTACGTACTGTACCAGAAAACCAAAGTGTTTGCGTATTTGGTAGGTGACTGGAACTTTACTCTTTCACATGCAATTGGAGAACAGTCGTCGGACTGACGCATTTACTCTGGTGAAATAAAGCTTACGAAGCTGTGATCTTAGTGATGAGCTAGATGCACTATCAACGCCTTATTTTGTACTCATTTTAATAGACCTTGCATGGTCTTTATCCATGCATATGCCCTAGTAAAGTACGCCGCCTTATAGCGTCCCAAGCCCATGAACACGGTTATCTGAGTTAGAACATACTCAATTTTCACGAGAAGAAGCAATATACTTACTACCAAAATTTCTTTAAAATTTTTCTTTCTCTTCGTAAACTCGAAGCTGTTGTTGACAGTGATGCAGGAGCCAGGAAGCTAAGTGAAGTATGTTTCCTTCAGCACATGTCTTGCTGTGTTTCACCAGGAGGTTGGGCATGATAATTATTGCATTTTTGATCAAGTATAAACGTCATTTATTCTGGGCGTGCGGAATTTAGTGTATTAGGTAGAGACCGAGATGCAGTGATAACCAGTTCGCATGCGCAGTGAGATTTATACAGTTATTAAAGGCATTAAAGCATGAATTTTGTGCGGCAATAAGATTTTCGCTAATCGTCAAAAGATTAGAGCTGCGATGTCATATGTCCAAAAGCACAATGTCAGTGACTATTGATAATTCCTACCAATTAGAAGTGGCCAAACATAGACCATGGAAGGAAGGGGGGGGGGGGATAATTCCGCATTAAAATATACACAGAAAGCCATTCATCATTTAACAGTCTTTTAGCCACCGGTTGCATGTAATATACTGTACGTTAAAACAAAAAGTATATTAAACTTCAGAGGATCGCGAATGCAACTAAAATCGCATTTAATAATCGAGTTTGATTGATTCACATGTGCAATCAACGTGTAAAATTAGTGTAAATTAGCCCTAGATATTATAAAAGTGCAAAAGATATATTTCGCGCCAATAGCTGACGTGCATGCTTGTGAGTTATATAATGAATTAAAGCTAAGCTAAGTTATCAAATTAAACAAACTATATACGCTGCAAAATTTAACATATGCAGCTTGAGGAAAAACGTGGCACTGCACAATTCTACCATTCATGCCTCGCAATATTATATACATTCAATTTGGCAATGTTTGGTTTAACTATTTGGACCCTGAATAAATTATAATTTGGATAAAATGCTATAAAACAGCACTGGTAATTTACGTGCAACAAATGTGGAGTATATAAAGTCAGTATATGTCATAGTGCAGTAGTTAATGTTATTAAAAGTAGCTTGTTAATTGAAAGTTAATTAAAAATTAATAACCACCAAACCAGAAGTTGGTTGTTGCATCAGGCGAAGATGTACAACGAAACTTCTTGTTGGTGTACGAGTAAAGACCAAAATTATCTTCACTGAGCACAGCTCCTCCTCCCGGTGTGAACTGACAAGCTGTCGATGTGCTATCAAGATGCATACTTTCCCTGTTGACGTATGCATACCAACCTGCCGTACACTCGGCACACTGATGACCGCGAACATTAATGTATTTCATTAATTTGCATACGTTACCACCTTCGAAGGTCATCACATCGAAATTCTTGAACCTTGCAACTGAATAATCTCGGTAAATATCAACAGGCTTGGCTTGAAAATCACAAGTGACTCGCCAATGAGTGGATTGCTTCTTTAAATCGTTCATTTGTGAATGTGACATTCGGTAGCGATTCCAGTTTGGCGTCTTCGAAAGTACTGGGGCATTATTTTTGAGTGAACGTTGCGAAAATGCAGGTATGGCTTTATTTTTGAAGGCAAATGACTCGACAAGTGTTCATGCTGACCCTGGCTCGGATTCCATATCGCAGAATACGGTTTGAAATGAGTTGCCTGCTCCGTCGCTTTTGATTTGATAATAACCACTGGTTTGATGATCTTTCTTAAAATAATCAAGGCAACTTCGTGCAAGGACATCACGTCGATGAAACCTGGCCCATGTTGGATGGGTCTAAAATTAGTGAAATAGAAAATACCTATTAATTTGCTGGAAATATCCATGCATGGCTCGACGTTATTGTTAAAAGAAAGAAGATATGTAAAAAACCACGCCCATGAGCAAAATGCACTTGACTGCCGTTTCAAGTACAATCTCGAACCCAAAGCATGCCCGTTCGCAGGTTAGGGTTGGGCTTAACCTGCGAACTGGCATACTCTGGGCTCGAGATTGTTTCAGGTATAGCTTTGGAGGAAATATTTCAAATTAACGTTGAACCTGACAATATTATCAAAGAGATGAAATAGACTAAACATTTGTTGCCGATTATCTGTGTAGGACGCGCTATGGTTATTTTTTACTCAAAAATTGTAAACTAAAACACATATAGCCAACCATAGCAACCATTGGTAAAGAACCTTTGTAATGAAAAAAAAAAATAATAATTTGACGCCCATGGTGTGATTATTGAAAAATTCGTGATTTTCGTGTTATAACAAGTTACGCATAAATCTGACAGCTCGCGCGCAATTCTTACCAAATCAAAACGATAGCCTCTCAAACTGCTCGATCTACAATAGGGCTTTTAACCTTTTGTCGTATTATCAGTAAATTGCGTGCTTTCCTTTTAAAGTTAAGGATCAGTTGAGTTCAAAATCGAAAGAGTCATTAACTATACCCATGTTAAAAATCTCTAAGATAAACATGCATATTAGCTTCGTAACAGGATCTTGAAATGAAATAAAAATCGCACCTACACTAGTATAGAGAAATTAAGGCTGTGATCGAATTCAGGATATCTGTCAGTTCCTTCCTAAGTTTGAAAAGCATATAATTGTCTTGTACGATATTGGAAAAATGCATGAACATGAGTATTTGAATAGGTTTGCAATTTTGGAAACACATTAAATTAAATTAATTTAACTCAGAGCTTACCTGACAAACAAATATCAAAACCAGTATCAATACTTGGAACTGATTCATGTTCAGTCGGATGACGATGACGAGATTAATCCGGCATAAAAACATATATCTATTAGTTAATTATGTGTGATGTCTTCTTGCTCCAGTGTTACTATACCAGAAAACCAAAGTATTCGCGGGTGTGTGGTAGGGTCGAACTGGAACTTTACTTTCTCACATGCAATTGGAGAACAGTCGTCGGACTGACGGATTTACTCTGGTGAAATAAAGCTTACGAAGCTGTGATCTTAGTGACGAGCTAGATGCACCATGGTCTTTACCCATGCATGCATGCCCCCAGTATATATATAAGGTACGCCGCCTTATAGCGTTCCGTGAACACGATTATCTGAGTTAGAACATGTTCAATTTTCACAAGAAGAAGCGATATATACTTACTACCAAAATTTCTTTAAAATTTTTCTCTTCGTAAATTTCGAAGCTGTTGCTTACAGCGATGCAGGAAGCACAAGTGAAGCATGTTTCCTTCAGTTCATGTCTTTATGT